CATGGCCAGCTGCGGGCAGCCGATGTCCAGCACGCGCAGGCCCAGGCGCGAGGCCAGAATGGGGCCGATGGTGGTGCCGCAGGGCGTGTCATTGCGCACCATGAACTCCTGCACAGGGACAAAGTCTCAGCAGCTCCCTACGCCGCCCCATGGCCTCCCACGTGGGCTCCCTGGGCCTGAAAGGAGGCAACCTGGGACGGGGAAAGAGCACTCTCCCGAGCCAGGCTGCAAAATCCCAGAGACGGGACAAGGTCAGGAAGGCCCTCCCCTCCTGCTCCTCAGCCTGCTCCCTGAGGCAGCCCCCGAGCTGCAGGCCCAGAGCTGCAGGCAGCGCAGATCCTTGTGGGGACACACAGTAACTGAGGGGTGGGGGTCTGCCACAGGCCCACTCCCCTGAACCCAGGGGCAGGGCCACATCCCAAGCTGGTAGCGTTCACGGAGCGCTTGCCCAGCCCCGCTCACCTGCAGAGGGACACCCACGCGGGCGGCGATGTCCCGGATGACTGCTTCGGTGACAGCCGTGGAGGCGTAGCGCTGGTTGCTGTTCACTTTGATGACGGGGCCCTGCACAAGGGAAGGCACCGTAGGCGCGGGATTGGCACCGGGGATAGCGGGTGAATCTGGAAACACCCGTGCCCAGGCAATGCCGTTGTGCCCCAACCCACTAGTCCACTCTCCCCTCTCTGGGTGATCCGTGGGGATGGGGACAGCCCTGACATGGGGACAGCCCCAGCTGAGAGCAGGGAAGGACTCCAGGGCCAAGGATGTGGTCCCAAGTGATGAACACCAGACACGTGGCCCAGCCAGACTAGGCTGCGGCACAAACGTCTCCCACTTGAGTGCTGCTGAGTTGCACCCCGGGATTGTGCCCCAGGGAGTGTCTGGGTGTTTCGCAGCGCTGCAGGACAGATGGACAGTGTCTGGCCCAGCCCAAAGCAGAGGGCTGCCCTCACCTTGTGGAAGGCCGGACGATGATTCTCCTCATGCTTGTCCCTGCCAAAGAGAATCAGGAGTTTCACACTGCAGCCCTCGATGCCCCAACAAGGACTGTCCTGTCTGTGCTCCCTGGGGAATGACGAGGACACGCGGCAGGGCAGGCTGCCCCGGCCTGCGGCACTGCTCAGACTACTCACACGTAGTTAGGGTGTACAGCGTGGGCCATATCGGCGCTGATCATGTAGGACTTGGCCACAGCCTCCTCGAAGGCCGTCAGGTTTTGCGGCGATGCCGAGATCCGGCGCAGCACCAGCTCCGTCAGCAAGGACTCCGCGCCCTGTGCGCTCTCTGACCCTACCTGCCAAGGACCACCATCAGCATGACCCACAGGGTGCAACCCCACGGCATCCCAGAGCCCAGCTGAGTGACAGGAAGCTTCCACCCACACCAGTGCTTCCCCCCCTATGCCTGGGCCATGCTCCACAGGAGGGGGAACCAAAGCCCTCCTTGCTCCAGTGGGGCCTGCTAGGCACAGCCTGGGGAGAGCGAAGAACGCGGAGCCCCTCGCTGTGCCAGCCACCCCAGGGCTGTGCCCTCGCTCACCTCCTCGTTGTCGTAGAGTGCAATGAGACGGACGTTGGGCTCCTGGGAGAGAGAGGAGGGCGCCGCACACGAGTCAATCAAGGCCTGCAGGGTCAGACAAGAAAGGACACCAGCTTGAGGGCCACCCCATCCCAGGAAGCCCAGCATTGAGCTGGCAGAGCTTCCCCAAGAGAGCTGAAAGCCCCGAGGAAGGGAGCTGTGGGCACACACATTGCCCAGTGAGAGCAGGAGCCACCCCTGGTAGCTGCTGGGAATACCACACACCCAGCAAAGGGGGCAGCCCACATAAACCCCAATCCTTCAACAAACCAGACCCACCCCATAGGAACACGGGCTCCCTGCAGAGCCCCAGGCCAGCCCATGGCCGAGCTGGGGTGCGCAGGGGCCAGGCCACAGCCTCCAGGCTCCTTCCTGCCCTCCTGCTCACCTGCAGGGCGCAGTAGCAGCTGTGCAGGTTGTCCAGGCGTGGAGAGAAGATGAACTCGTCAAAGGCACCTCCCAGTGTCTGCAGGCAGAAAGCCAGGAGGAGCAGGGCTCTGGGTCACCAAAAAGTAACTGCCACTGGGTCCCCATTCCAGTCTCCTCAGCCTCGCAGGAGCTGCATTCCATCCAGCTCCCATGCCCCAGGCAAGGGAAGCGTGCCAGCTAAAACCTGTGTAGAGCCAGCCTGCAGGCTGTGTGCGGGCAGAGAGAGGCTCCTACCCTTACTCACCGCTGGCTGGGTATCCGCCAGGCAGAGTTCCAGCTCCACAATCTGCTCTGGTTTCACCCCCAACTGGGGGCAGAGCAGGGAAAGCAGGACAGGGCTGTGCCGTTCTGCCTGGGAAGAAAGCGGAGCTGTGGGCAGGACAGGCAGTGGATGGCAGGGGACATTCCATTCTCCCCGGCAGAGCTGTCCCACGCCCCGCTCATGTTAGCACTGTCCTCCCCCCTACTAACACATCCCATGTTGAAGACCCCACCTCACAGGACAGCGGGACTATTCACAGGGTGCAGCAAGGGGCTCTCTGCCCTCTGCGCTATCCCCCCTCCCTGCCCTGCCTCCCCAAAGAGACTGTGATAGCTTTACGGGGGTTGCACCCCCTTCCACGATGACTGCAGAGCAGGGTGGGAACAGAGAGGCGGCGGAGCAGGTGTGCGTGTACACAGCTCTGGGGCAGGGCGGAAGGTTACTGGCAGCCCCGGGGGAGAAGGTCCGCAGGGACTGGAAATAAAGGTGATGCCTAGCAAGTATCCCCGCTAGGCCTCGGTCCCCGTCTCACCTGGGCCGCAGCATCACAAGGCGTGGCATCCATGAGCACCTCCTTTTCCAGCTCCTCCTGCACAGCAGTGGCCAGAATGGGAACCCTGTGGGGAGATGGTGCCGTTAGCTCCCAGGGCGTTGCTCACCTCTTCTGCTTTGGTCACATGCAGCCAACCCTTCCCGGGTGCCTGCCTTGCTCCTTGCTCCTTCAGGGAGCAGGGACAGACATTTCAAGCACAGATTTATTGTGCCACCTCAGGACATCCCAGTGTCCCTTCCCTAGTCCCAACCTTGGAAGCATTTCCTGGGAGGACTCTATGGGGCTAAGAAAGCCGCTGCAGACCTCCCCACTGCGATGAGCAGCTGCCAAAGGGAGAGAGCTGAGGCTGGGCACTGCTCCAGCTGGGTCCCAGCCCTCCCGAGGGCTGGCCAGGGGTCAGGGCCGAGCCAGGCCTTACAGGTGGTGCTCGGTGTTGGGCCCAAAGTTCTCATTGATGCTGCGCTGCAGATGGATGGCCAAGTGGGGAATGCGGAGGACAGGCCGCTCCACACGTACCAGGCGCTGCTCCAGGCGCCCTGTGGCTGGGTCCTGAAACACAAGAAGGACTGCTGGGGCCAGGGCTGAGAGGTTGCAGCAAATCCCACTCCGGGTGGGAGTCATGGACGCAGAGCTGGGGGCGCACAGCCAGCCCACCCTGCCTGTCCCAACTCGGGCTCACCTTTATGATCACCCTCCCGGCCACGGTGAGGTCACGGTCAAACCAGGTGTTCCAGATGCCCCCTCCGTAGGTCTCCACGCCGACCTGCACCATGCCCACCTGCCCCCGCTTAGAGCGCCGCTTCACCTGGGCGAAAGCAGAGGTGTCGCTGCCAGCACCACAATGCCCCAGGTACTGGCTAACTGGTGGGGACTGGGCAGAGCCCAGCCAGAGCCTCATGGCTGATCGCATCAGTGCAGGGGGCTGGGAGGTGATTTGTGGGACAGGGGACACGGAGGGGGTAACAGCAGGTGGAGCAATGCAGGGGGTCACCGAGGGCTGTGCTGGGTGATAGATTTGGGAGGTGCAGGTACCCAAAAACGGTGCTGTGGGGTACAGAGGGGGTCAGGGTAGTTTTTGCTTGTGGAGTGAAACCAGAAGGCCCCAGCCCCGGGGGAAAGGCACCCGGCTGGCCAGCCTTACCCTGAGGCAGGGGCTGTCGGT